AAAAAAAAAAATAAAATAAGAGGGGGCCCCCCGGGGGGCGGGGGGGGGGGGGGGGGGTTTTGGGGTTTTGGGGCCCCCTTTTTTGTTTGGCCCCCCCGGGGGGGGTTTTTCTTCCCCCCCCCCCCCGGGGGGGGGGCCCAAAAAAAAGGGGGGGAAAAATTTTTTAAAAATTTTTTGGGGGGTTAGATTTGAGCGGGGGTGGGTATATAGGACGTGGGAGGGGGTTCGGATACATCATGAAGTAGAGGATTGAGATTAATCAATATTGATGTCGTGCTAAGCCCCCTCAGAGAGTATTTTTTATCACCTTCATATTTTTTCTTCAATTCATTTCATTCCTCCTCCTATCCTTTATCGTTCATCATTTTGCCAATACCCTCTTCACATCACTCTCTTTCCATCTTTTTCTATCTGCATCTTTGTCTCTCTCTCTCTCTCTTCTCCCACTCTTTCTCTTTCTCACTCACTCTCTCATCTCTCCCCTCTCTCTCTCTCTCACCTCTACTCTCTCCAACCTCTTTCTCTTCCTCAAATTATTGGTAAACCTACAAAATTCTCTGACACATCTGTCTGTGTGTCTGTGTGTCTGTCTGTCTGCCACCCACCCAACAGACCTCTATCTAAACACTGAGTCCTCCTCTTCTCCCTCGCCATCCTCCTTTCCCCCAGGACGCAATTACTGTGTTCCCTTGGACTCCAACTAATTAGCTTAAAACTTCAACGAATAAATAAGGAATAAAGCGAGTGAGTGAGAGAGTGAGAGAGAGAGAGAGAGAGAGAGAGAGGAGAGAGAGAGAGAGCCAGCGAGAGGATGAGGAGACGAGAGAGAGAGAGAGAGAGAGGAGAGAGAGAGCGAGAGAGAGAGAGAGGAGAGAGAGAGAGAGAGAGAGAGGAGAGAGAGAGAGAGTGGGAGAGAGAGAAGGAAGAAGAGCTAAATACAGTGGGGAGAACAAGTATTTGATACACTGCTGATTTTTCAGGTTTTCCTACTTACAAAGCATGTAGAGGTCTGTAATTTTTATCATAGGTACACTTCAACTGTGAGAGACGGAATCTAAAACAAAAATCCAGAAAATCACATTGTATGATTTTTAAGTAATTAATTTGCATTTTATTGCATGACATAAGTATTTGATACATCAGAAAAGCAGAACTTAATATTTGGTACAGAAACCTTTGTTTGCAATTACAGAGATCATACGTTTCCTGTAGGTCTTGACCAGGTTTGCACACACTGCAGCAGGGATTTTGGCCCACTCCTCCATACAGACCTTCTCCAGATCCTTCAGGTTTAGGGGCTGTCGCTGGGCAATATGGACTTTCAGCTCCCTCCAAAGATTTTCTATTGGGTTCAGGTCTGGAGACTGGCTAGGCCACGCCAGGACCTTGAGATGCTTCTTACGGAGCCACTCCTTAGTTGCCCTGGCTGTGTGTTTCGGGTCGTTGTCATGCTGGAAGACCCAGCCACGACCCATCTTCAAAGCTCTTACTGAGGGAAGGAGGTTGTTGGCCAAGATCTCGCAATACATCCTCCCCTCAATACGGTGCAGTCGTCCTGTCCCCTTTGCAGAAAAGCATCCCCAAAGAATGATGTTTCCACCTCCATGCTTCACGGTTGGGATGGTGTTCTTGGGGTTGTACTCATCCTTCTTCTTCCTCCAAACACGGCGAGTGGAGTTTAGACCAAAAAGCTCAATGTTTGTCTCATCAGACCACATGACCTTCTCCCATTCCTCCTCTGGATCATCCAGATGGTCATTGGCAAACTTCAGACGGGCCTGGACTGGCTTGAGCAGGGGGACCTTGTGTGTGCTGCAGGATTTTAATCCATGACGGCGTAGTGTGTTACTTATGGTTTTCTTTGAGACTGTGGTCCCAGCTCTCTTCAGGTCATTGACCAGGTCCTGCCGTGTAGTTCTGAGCTGATCCCTCACCTTCCTCATGATCATTGATGCCCCACGAGGTGAGATCTTGCATGGAGCCCCAGACCGGGGGTGATTGACCGTCATCTTGAACTTCTTCCATTTTCTAATAATTGCGCCAACAGTTGTTGCCTTCTCACCAAGCTGCTTGCCTATTGTCCTGTAGCCCATCCCAGCCTTGTGCAGGTCTACAATTTTATCCCTGATGTCCTTACACAGCTCTCTGGTCTTGGCCATTGTGGAGAGGTTGGAGTCTGTTTGATTGAGTGTGTGGACAGGGGTCTTTTATACAGGTAACGAGTTCAAACAGGTGCAGTTAATACAGGTAATGAGTAGAGAACAGGAGAGCTTCTTAAAGAAAAACTCAGGTCTGTGAGAGCCGGAATTCTTACTGGTTGGTAGGTGATCAAATACTTATGTCATGCAATAAAATGCAAATTAATTACTTAAAAATCATGCAATGTGATTTTCTGGATTTTTGTTTTAGATTCCGTCTCTCACAGTTGAAGTGTACCTATGATAAAAATGACAGACCTCTACATGCTTTGTAA